TGTTGCTATATACTTTTCCCATCCATCAGTTTCCAAAAGCAAGACTCATTTGCACAGTGCTTTCTTCACAACTTTGCTCCTCAAACTATATAGTAATGGATTCAGCATGGGAATCACTGTGGTGTAGAACACAGAATACCTTCTCTTGCTCTAGGGAGTTGCTTGAGAGGAGTTGCTTGAGGGGGGTGATAGACCCAAAGAAGATTCCCACGGCCATGAGATGACAGCTGCACGCTCCAAAGGCTTTGGACCGGCCCTGTGAGGACTGTGTACAACAGATGCTGAAGAAGATGAACACATAGGATAGGGTAGGCAGCAAGGTGTTGAGTCCAGCAATAATAAAAAGGAGAAGTTCATTGAGATGTGCGTTGGAGCAGGAGATATTGAGGAGCGGGAGAACATCACAGAAGTAATGACTGATGATGTGGGCTCTACAGAAGCTCAGTTTCATCATAGCACTTGTATGTGCCAAGGCAGACAGAAGACCTAGGATGAAGGTGACCAGCACTAACATCAAGCACAGCCGGGGGACATGATGACATTATAAAACAGTGGTCTGCAGATGGCAACATAACGATCATAAGCTATCACAGTTAGGAGGTATCCCTCAGCTACCACAAAAAACACAAAGCAAAAGAGCTGAGCCATGCATTCAGAATAAAAGATCAAATTCTTCTTCCCAAGGAAGTTGACCAGCATTTTGGGGGTAATAACAGTGGAATAGCAGAGATCCACAAAAGAAAGTGCACTGAGGAAATAGCACATTGGAGTGTGTAGCAGTGGGCTCACTGAGACCAGAAGGATCATGCCCAGGTTCCCCATTACTGTCACCATGTAGATGCTGAGGAACAGAAGGAAGCAAGGCAGCAGGACCTCTGACTGCTGTGTTAGTCCCACCGAGACAAACACGGGTGCTGCAGAATAATTACCAGTGGCCATTCTGTGAATATTTCTGTAAAAGAAAAGTTGGAATTATAGTTTAATACCATATCACACTGAACATTTCTGATTTCATCGAAAACTAAAAATTACTTCTTTCCATTTCAAATGAATACAAAGATTCAAAAAGAAGTTAGAAAACTTCTGTCATAATTTTTATTTCTGGTCCAGG